TTTCAAAATGCTTGTGAACGCAAATTGGCGATGCTCTAGACGGCCGTGGGGTGAAAGTCTGGAAGGCTGACTCTGAGTCGAGATGTCGCTGTTGTACGTGGTTGACATTGTGAAAATGGATGCTGATGCACGGCAAGGTTTAATGGTGAATTGTATCTCCTTGCAAATGTAGATGACCGCAGATCGGGAAAACGTTCATTGAGGGTTGGGTTCCTGCCAAACATCGGGGGTTGAGCGGGGGTCATCCCCAGGATCTCTTCTGGAAAAATTCCTGGGGGCATGAGGGGCAATCGAGAAATATGATGACTTCACATCAAGGGCTGGCCCCATATTTAGGATATCCCGCCGCCAGAACACAATTATAACAAGACCATATTTAGAAAATCCAAACAAATATATTTTTTCGGGGGCAACGATTTTAAGTAGATTTCAATTGACTGTAAATAGATTTTGAACCTACAGCTTTGGCGTTATTATTCTGGGGCTCCCCCAAGAAAAGAGATAGATCAATTAGGAGCGGTGGGGGGGGGGCGGCCTTATTAATGAGAGGCCAACATTACATATCAAAGGGGTTAGGGCCTCAGGAATCACCGATTTTGAACCTTCATGGGGCTTCGACGCGGACTGGAGGCCTGAAATAGAATCCTTCAGGCATAAGCCACAAACCTATCCGTATGGCCAACACACAGTTTGCAATGCCTCATGAAGCGTTGTCGTCGCCAGCCCTCGCCTCCCACTATCACAGCGGGAGGCTCAGACCTTCTCGTCTTTGTCGTCAAAACCCTCGCCTCCCACTATCACAGCGGGAGACTCCGGCTTTGTCATCTTTGTTGTCAAAACCTAGGGATGTAGGTGCCTCGAATCAAAACATGGCATCATCCACGTTATACTAAACAAGTCGCAGCCGAGGGACCTGGACACTTGCCCATGGCTGAACAAATGTAGCGGGTAGAGGTCGAGCCACCTGAATAGCTGCCATCATGAATTGATGGATGTTGCCAGGATCTAGCGGTCAATGAAGACTACACACCATGGCTTCAAAGATGCACTCTCCCGAAATGCTGGCTGCATGAGAAACTGTTCAAGCTCCTCGTGGTAACAGCACATGGCATGTCATGCGATCGTCCAGACTCAAGAGACAAGGCTTCCCTGGGGTGGAGACGCGTTGACGTCGAAGTCATCCTGGCCAGTGCAGCTGATGGGCTTCACACTGAGAAGCGCTGAAGGCTTGCACGTACCCTAGCACTTGGAGGATGCAAATGTGGCCATGAATTCGTGACAGGAATGCGTTGCGGACGTGCGGTTCGCAAGCTTTCGTGTCAAGATCTAAAAGCTGTGTCACAAAGAAGTTTACAGATGACTGCAGACTGTTCCATTCAGAGGTTCAGAGCAGCCGGCAGGAATGTGGGTGAATCCAGAGTCCGATTCGCCCTAATAAGACGGAGCGTCCATCAACATGCCAGCAGCTCCAAGGGAAGGCAGCACAAACCCCGATGCAGCAAAGTCTGTACCAGCGTAGCCTTCGCCAAGCAGCCAGCCGCCAATTACTCAAAAAGTGCAATCTGAAGATTCTCGCTAGAAATCTGCCCAAGTACGGTAACAATTTCAGAAATCCAGAAAGATCCCGCTTATGGCTCCTGCAAAGCCCCATCTCGGCTGCCCCGCCCGCGGCGCTTGCTCCAGGAACTGCAAAGCCTCCACACTTGGCTGGCCTGCAGAACAACAGGGTCGAGAAAACCAATGCCAGCATCTGCTGGAGATCAGCCAAGCCTCCTCCACAACTTGGATCCTGTTTGTCACGTTACAGCATGCAGAGGGCGCCTGGTGCTGTAAGCGGAAGAAAGGTCTTTGCCAGCTCCGGCGGCCAGTTTTTCCTGGCACGCAAAGCATTGATTTACGCCAAGCCTCCACTTGGCTTCCCTACTTACCTGGCCCGCAAAAGTGCTGCAAACGGGCATTGTGCACGGTGCTTCGTAGCATAGTCGCGGCAGGGTCACTGCAGCTGCAAGGCGGGAGGTTCGCATCGCAGGCCAGCTTGGGGCAAGGCTGTGTCAGGAAATAGTCTCACATGTACGCATGCCTGCCAAATGTAAAGTAGGTCAAGGACTGGCTCCTTGATGCCTCATGCTCATCCTTGCGAAATGACGGAATATGCATCTAAAGCTTTATCAAAGCAGTTTGAGCATTTGTCTTGTGGGATTCAAAACGTCTAGCCGCTCGTGGCAGGTGCAGGCTGCGAATTTTCTGCCAAGCAGGCTGCACTTCGCCCTCTGTTTGCATGAAGATGGGCAGCTCGGCGAAACCTGCAAGCATAAGCCACGTGGCTACATGTTTCGCTCTCTACTGCTCCTGCCAAACCAGGAAGTCATGCTTGAAGACTGTTCGAGATTGTCTTGATCACATGGTGGTGTCTTCCACAAGCAGCAGTGAGGCGCGCACGTAGCTTTGCACATCCAAAAGCAGCAAGCCTGCAGTGAACAAGAAGCACACTGTCCAGATGTGCTGAACTGATTGAATCTGCTCGACTCGACTTCAAATGCTCCACGACACTCCAGCCTTCGCCCACCCAGTGCGAGCGTTGGACAGCCATCAATCTGGAAACCCTGGCTCGCACAGCAAACACACAGGGTGCCGGGAATCCTGCAAATCCGCCGAGGCCGGAGGGCTGGGGCGTTTAGATCCAGGAGCCAGGGACTAGGAAGGCAAGTTACCCTCCCCCGACACTCTCCCGGTCCGGGGCAGGGTCCATCAGGGTCCAAACGGCTCTTTTGGGGGGTTCTAGGCGAGGCACGGGGGTCCGGCTGGTGTGCTGGGTTGCGCGTAGGCTGGTGTGTGTCTAGGCGCGAGGCCAAAAACACCAATTCTTGAGGGGGCGCAGTGTGGGCAGTGGGCTTAGGGAGGGGGGGGGCTGCGCTCTTGCGCCCCGCCCACGCGACTTGTGCCTGTTACCACACTCGCTGGCACAGCAAGGGTTCGATGTGTGCAGCCCAATCCCCACACAAGATCCTGCCGCACTCTACATTTCATCATCCCAAAGCTTGAGGAGCGTGTTGGCGATTTCAGGCAGAGGCCGTCGAGGCAACGCACCAGCTCGAAGATAACATGTCTCCAAGACATCGAGGCCGAATCCATCCTGGCCTGCTTGCCCTCCGGGGCAGCTGCAGCAAGTCCTTTGGTTTTAGGCCAGGACTTGATTCAGCAGCCAACAGCAAAGAGTTCTTCCACCCACTTGGGATTATTGTTGAGGCAAGCTACGGGAAGTTTAACAAATGCTCAAGCTCGAGAATCTCAGATTGTTGCCCTCTGCCCAGCTCTCGTTGAGGAGGAGGCTCCAGGCCTCATGGGAGACAGCCAAATTGCTGGGATAATCCAGGCCAAAGCAAAAAAAGACAGAATGTTTGGCCTGCAGCATACCTCACTTCAACAGATCGCTCGTCGGGTCCCTTTCTGGGTATGCTGCTCTGGGCTCCTCAGAAGGCACCAGCATCTCGTCTCGGACCATTGAAGGTGGATGGGGGCCCGGACCATACGGACCATCTTGGTTGCAGATTCTGCCAGCAAGATCTGATTGCTGAACGCATTGTTGGTAGCCAATTCAAAACAACTTGCAAACTTTGTCCCTGCAGTCAAGCGGCCATCCAAGGGTAAAGGCACAGAACGGTGCGGGATAGGCTGGACGAAAACCAATGGCCCTAACCTCGGAACGAACTTCATGCCCTGATAAACACATAGCAGGTTTCTAGCTGCTCCTATCTGGCATGACTCTGCACGAACAGCGGTCCTGCCCCTTCAGGATGCAAGGGGTTGCGGGCTGCTTACCACTACAACGTATAAATGCTTTTGACTTTTGCAAGTCCCTTGCAAGCACAGACTAGTTCAAAGGACATCCACCTTGCCAGCCTTGGCCATGTGCTTAACCTCTCAGAAGCCAGCTGGACGCTGGCCCCACTAATTCCTGCCCTCAGCACAGGCTTCATCACGAAGCGCACCTGGCGTCAGGCTGAGCTTCGGCCACGCAAGTTGTATACTCTCGGATCCCAACACACCTCCCAAACTACATCCGGCTCCTCGATCAGAAAAGCCACGGTTGAGGGACCTCAACTCCGGCTAGCAGAAGGATTTGTGCACTGCAGCAGAGGCCGCACATTCATGAGAGCTCGAAATACATACTGGATCCCTGTGCTTGTGTTCTACACCCGCTTTCCCAAAAAAATGTAAGCCTGCCCCTCGCGACCCCTGGACCAGGACACTCTGTCTGTCTCGGAATGCCCAACAGCCTGATGGACACTGAACACCAACCCATGCCATCTTGCGCACAGCCAAAACATGCCCAAATCAACCCGGTCTCGAGCGCTTCAGATATCAGCGATTTCAGCAATTTTGCAGAAACACAGTGACATCTGAATGCTGCGTATGTTGCTCAGCACCCCGACGCACTGCGCCTGCTATGTCTCTCAGCCGTATGCGGCCCTGAGCCCCTGAGGCCTGGCAAGGGCATGCCAGTGCTTCATCCACGCATCCAGAGGGAACAACATTTGACTGTGATTATTCATGATTGTAACAATGTTCTGATTGGAAAGCTCGCGATGTAGGGACGAATCAGTTTAGAATGGCCCCAGTTTAACTGGGGTTGAATTCCTAAAACCTCTGCAGCGCTCAGCCCACGCCTTCATTCCCTTTCCAACTTGGCCACGAAAAGCTGGATGCGAATTGCATCCCATCCGGATATGCAAAGATGGCACCCTCCACATCTCGCATCATCCGCTCAAGGTCGACCGTGCTTCACAGCAAGCAAGCGTGCGATATTCCAATGCACACGTTGCTGTTCACATGTATGTCGATTCAGACGAGTCTGTGGACAACCCTCAAAAAATTCTCACCACAGGAATTTCACAACATGATGCAGATTCTAGATTTCCTGGAACGAGGTTCTTAGGATTCTGGATGAATTACAGCTAACAGAAATCAAAGATACTGTTCAGGGAACTTCTAGGGAATATCTAAGCTCCGGCCTCTGAGCGGTCCAAATCAGCCCAGTGCGGCACGCGCACCAAGAGCTGCAGCCTAGAAAGCGGATGAGCGACAGGCAGCAAAAGGCTCGGAAGCTTTGTGCCGCACGGTGGGCGAATGCCAGTGACGGTGTAGCGAAGAGGGCCCTGCCAAGGCAGATTGAAGCTCCAAAGTTTAAAAAGTCCAAAGATGTCCCGAAAATTACACAAACAAGCAAGCGGTGCGTACCATCCAGGCCTCTGGCTCGAAGGGGTATGCCGTGGACAAATCCACCTGAACAGGGCAAGCTACTCAACCGTTCCACTCCCAGCCCTGTCTAGCAATAGACTCAGCACCATCCAGCTTTGCACGCTGCTGCGTCTTGCGGCGACTGCAATGCGGCAATCACAGCGGCCACACACTCAACCTTCCACCCCTGAAGGCTGTAAACAAGACTTCAAAATCAGGTTTTTGAATGCGTATTTTGCAGATGACACTGCTCACTTTACAGCCCTTGACAATGATGTCTCAAAGAATGAATCCTGCAAAGTATCTTCGACGCTCGCCGTGAATGCTGCAAGATACAGCGACGCTCCAGACACTCGAGAAAAGCCTGACCGTTCACCGGCTCTGGCACTGCGACCACTGAGGGCGCAAAGGCCGCGGAGAGGAGCAAAGGCCTCAGGGGATATGACTAGAGCATGGTCAAGAAGTCCTGTTCTGCCAAAAGACCAGACACGAGCTTCCTGTAGTAATAGGCTACGAGGAAATAGTAATGCGAACTGAACACCCGCTTGGCTTGCGGTCTGCTTGCAATGCTGGGTTGGGGTCGGCGTTATGGGGTTCAGTGCACCGGCTAAGGGCTGAAGTGATCAAGCAATCTGCCAGCTTTTCCCTTGGGTTCCTTGTTGAGATCTAGGTTCCCGGTGCGTTCAGAAGGAAGGGCTTGCGTCTTAAGTCGTAGAAGTGGGCACGGGTTGGCACCACTCAGTTCGGCTCACAACGTGCGAGGGCATGTTCCTCCTTCAGACATCAGAAAGTGCCCAGCATTTAAGTTGCGGGTCTGCTTTAAACGTTGTGAATTTGAATAAACCTTGGGCAAAACCGCGGAACCTTGCTTGTCGCGCCCATGCAGGCCCCAACAAAGAAGCCCCAGGTTCACCAATCCTGAAACCATCCATGCCAGTCACTCAGCCCAAGGAGGCCCAGGCTGCTACATGCTCCACGAACATCCTTTTCTTCTATCTGCGCCTGAGATGTATCCTGAGGTCTCGGCGTCTCCATCAACCCTACTTGGCGGCCGCCTGGAGCAGCAAAAAAAGCGTCTAGTCAGGAAGGCCCGCAAGACTAGATTGCTCTACAGGAGGCTTGCAATGGGCTTCACCTGTGAGATCCTGTGAATATGGCATAATGCATATGCAAGCTGTTCAATGGCCTAAGCTCATGATATGCAACTCTGCAAAGAATCACTACTTTCGGGAAAGGGTCTGCAAGAAACAGCCCAAGCTTCGCAGATTGCAGCTGCAAGATCAAAACCATTATGTAGATGATGCCCGTTGACGCACGTCTGCTGGAAGGAGCCTAAACAGCTTGGGATTTTTGGAGGCAGCCGAGGTGCCATCTTCAAAAAGCCAAAGGCCAGAGGCCTGAGGAAAGCCCACTGCTGTGTCATGGCGTCATGGCAGCCACACAAGTTGAACTGCCCGGGCCGCCGGCAGCAAACTTGCCCCAACCCTGGGCAAAGTTCACGGTGCAGCACGGAAAGTTCCTGTAGGCTGAACTGGTCCATGCCAGCTCTTCCGCATGCTAAACAGGATTTGGTTGGATCAGGGCCGGCACGGAGAAAGGCCGTAAACAGTCGCATCCAGCCCGACGTTCCCAAACGTCTGGCCATGGCTGACATGACTGACATGACACTTGGCGAGCAACAACTGCTGCATATTGCGGATTGGAATGCAAAATTCACATCTGTCGATTTCGCATGCAAACAGAAGAATTTTCACGAAAGAGCAGAAAGAAACTCCATCTCGAGCCAACTCTGCTCTGTGCATGCGGGAGCTCACCTTGGACATTCGAGGCGTGTCATGCTCGGCTGTCTCCTCTGAAGGTTCCTCAGGTCTCTGAAAACGTTGCAACACTGGAATGCTTCCGCCGACTTGCACAAGCCGTCCACAAACAAGAGCCAACTGAACCTTGCATGCACTTGCGGCCATGCATCAATTCCAGCGAAAGGTGCATTTGACTGGGTCAAGTACCTTGGCAGAATCAAGATGCTTTCCGCAAACGAACCTGTCCAGTGCGTTACCTCACTCCATGGACACGATTTCAATATGAAGCCAAGACGACTGCTGCTATAACCAGCACAAGATCAAGTTTAGAGAGTGGCTGATGCGTCCAGTGATCGTCGCTGACAGCCGCAGGCAAGGCATTGAAAGCCAGCACCTGCATAGTGCAAGAGCGATTAACATGTTGGCTCGGAATGTCAGTGCCGAAACTGCACTTGTGCATTGACTCAGTAGGAGAGAGAAATGAAAACAATAACTTTCCGTCTTGTAACATGCCTTGACTTGAGGCCACAAAACTCTGGATGAAGAAGCCTGCCGGGCCTCCAAGCTGTCGGCCAGCTCTGGCCTCTTCCATGTTTAGCGGTCAGCTGATGAACACAAGGAACTTCCACACTTCTGGCTGTAGCACTGCAACGAGACGTGTCGCAACATGTCGTAATCAACCACGGGTTGCCTGTCTGGCATCGCCGCATATGCCTCTTCTAGGCTGCGCATTGACTCCACAACCACCTGGCCGATGGATTGGCAACAAGTCCCCGCGACCCCTTTCATCCCCTTTCATGTGGGAACCTGCCAAGTGCTCGCAAAGCTGTAGAGAGTGTCACCGTTCATCTTGTACAGTTTGCGATGAAGGAAGAAGGATGGCTAGATCCTCTGCGCAAAGGTCGATGAATGACAACCCTTGGCAGCACTCCCTGTACCTGTGAATGCCCGAACATAACATGGCCGCTCCACGCAAAGCTCGGTCCCCCGGTACGGCGCGCGGCCTGCAAGGTGCTCGTCAGCCCCAAAAGCACCTGGGACGCACGATGCTCCCAACAGCTGGTACTTCGCTACGGAGACGTTGCTTCAGCAAGACCACCCTTGCATCAAGTCGGAGAACCTGAGGCTACGCCATGATGGCGCTGCAGCTGGCGCCAAGCCAGCAGTGATGCCTGGACACCGCAAAGCCTGTAGGGTAAACTCATCCTGTCACTGAACAACAGGCCTCAGCGGTTGCATCCCCGATCTCACTCCACAGCGCGGCAAATTTGAAGGCAACAGCATTGTTCACGCCGTGAGAGTACAGGCTGAATTGGTCGCGGCCTAAGCGGCCATGGGGGCAAAGACTAGCAGGACAAGATCTCAGCCTGCAAGCAGCCTGATCCAAGCCTTTTGGCGGCTGCCGAGAGCCTAACTCAAAGCGCTTTGCGGAAATGTCTCATTGCTGAACCAGCGCTGCCAGTCGTAGCCTTGCCTCAGATGAACAATCAATCCCAAGCGGAAACAGTCCAGAAGATGCAGTGCAAACGGCGTACATCTCACAGCAGAGGCAGCAATGTGGCCACAACAGCTCTTGGGAAATGAGCGGCTTCACGGTCTGCATGCTTCTGTTTTATTCCTCACGTGACTAACATCCCACTTCGGAGCCAGGCTGCAGTCGAACCAGCCAGGCTAAACGCCTCAGTGCCAGGCTCTCCAAAGGCGGGGCGCGGCAGGCGGTGCCTCGGAGAACCGAGACCCACAAGAATCGAACGAAAAGACGAAGACCAATTCTCATCAGAATTAGCAAAGCACTTAAACAGACAAATGAGAAAGCAACAGCATTCCTGAATATCCCTCACAAGCTGTGCCGGGGTAGATTTTTCCGAATACTGCAAGTAGATCTGCAATCGGCATGCTAAAATCAAGAAAACGTTTTTTTCTGAAAGCTTGCTGCCCCAGCAGCGAGGGGCCTTTGTCCCCTGCAGCGTCCGCAGCGCCCAGAGGAGCTCAGGCCACCGAGCCGAGCTCCAAGCAACCAGGCGCAGGCGCCCTTTTTCCATTTTTGGAAGATTCAAAGTGCACTGGTTACTGGTTTTGATACCGCTTATGAATCTTTTGGAAATCTTCACCGACAACAAGAAGGGGATCTTGATGGGCAGCAGCTCGGCTCAGGCTGGTGGTGTGTCCACAACGTGTACTGTGACACAACGTGCCTTCATCAAGTCTTCGCCCCAACTCCAAGACAAAGGCCTTGCAGACAGCTGTGCTTGAGACCCACGTGTTGCCAAAGCCCAGGCTGATTGCATGCTATCCTTTCAAGTGAAAAATACGAGCTCTGCGTGCCTCGGCGGCAAAGAAGGCTCGACAGCCAAGGTCTCCAGGCTCTTCAGCTCGCCACTCTGCATATTGTACCTCATGTGCTGTCTGGTGGGCCACTTTGATATGCTCTGAAATTGTACCTCTTTGATCTTTTCCATTCACTCACAGAAGCCCTACAGTCGCAGGTGTCTATTTATGCGTTGTGCGGCATTGTAAATCCACTCATATGTTATGTGAACGCGTGATTTCAAAGCCACCGCCTGCACAACAAAACGTGTCTCTGACCCTCTCTAACATATTTTTCCATCACAATCCAGAGCCGAGATTCCAGCGCCTGAAGTGCAGGCAACCTTCAAGCAGCGGGCTGTTGTACAACTACGCTAAGACAGGAAATGCATGGAGAAACACATTGCGTACGGCTATCCGACCCGAGAAATCCTCGCTAATGCTCTCCAGTGACCTAGCTCACCTTCAGCGCAAGGTGCTAATCGAATTACGTACTTCAGCCCAGTGGTAAAGTTAGAGCGCCAGCCTTGCCCAAAGCGACCCCGACAGACGCCCGAAGCGTTCAGCCATTGCCTTGCCAGCAGCAGATCGCGAAATGTATACGACTTAAGAATCAAAGCATGATCCTCGCATTAGTGACTGGCTTCTGCCACCTTGTGCCCTGTGGGCTTCTTTTCCTGCTTCAAGGGTCCAGCAGTCCAGCCTCCTCGGGCTCATCCGCCAGGATTGGCCACTCGTCAGGCCCAAGCCAGCCTGCTGTGAGTTCTGCCACCCCTACCTGGACCTTCTTTGGCTGCAAAACACACGCTGTTCAGACAGGGAGCCCGTGGCAGACGTCGCAAGGAGTCTATCGACCGCCTCCAAGTTTCTGAGCATCTCTTAGCTAGGCTCAAAGAAGACCATTCAGTCTGGACATTGCATATCTTGATCAGCGCCTCTTGTGACCTGCATTGTATGCTAGCCCGAAGCACCAGCAACCATGCATGCCCACATAACCTCTAGACAAGAATCTCCATCACCACCTCATCGCACAGGGCCGTGACCCGGGGCTGTCCAACAGCAACAGCCAGAGCAACCAGGCCATTTAGAGCGTAGGGGAAGTCCTGCAATTCGTTGCTTGGCTTCTTCTACAATTGCTGAGGCACCTCTTGCATGTTCAGAAAACAAGCAGGCATCTCACACAGCCCCCGCACCAACACGAACCTGTCCTCATGGAGACTGGAGTATGAAGACCTCCAGCCACAAGACACAGGGCGCAAGGTTTTCACAAGGCATAGCCAGTTGGACAAATGTGGCTGGCTGTCAAAAGGGGCTGTTCATGCGTTCCTGCTCGTTGGTTTGTTAGTTGTTCTGATTCTCCTGACCCGTGACATGCGCCAAGGCGAAGCCAAGCCTTCCCCCCACGAAGTTGGAATCCACCACAGGCGGATAGAACCTGAACTTTTTGTGAGCAGGATCTGTACTTCCTCAAACATCACCCTAAGCCCAAACTTGTTCTGCCTTCCTAATGCGGGCACGCGCACTCGAAAAGCCGGCCCGCCAAGCCCTCGGCGCTGCGCTGCAGGGTCTGGCACCCAATTTTCAAAATGTAGCAATCAAAACAGACATTCGCCCCGGGAATTCTGGTATCTGGATGGTGATGGCAAGCCGCATCCCAAACTTCAAGACTGTACAGAGCACATCCTGGCACCTCGTTCAGCCAGCCACGGGGCTGCACAGCGCCGAGCCGTGGCGGAGCAAGGCGGCGACTGGCATCAGACATGCTCCAGGATTTTGAGGGCAAGCTAGCCAACGCCATCAGGAATCAGCTGGCAACTCCCAAACAAGATCCCTGTGTGCCCTCACACAAGCGCCTCTGAGGTGGAGCAAGCCAGGTGCCACCAACCTGTTGCAGAATGACTCAAGCGCGACTTGTGCCCTCAAGGATGGCTTGCATAAGGCACAGCAGCTGTTTGCTCTTCAGTTCACAAGTCCCAGCGCAAAGAACCAAAACGACTGGCAGCCCAAAGCAAGGCACCTGAAGGGTGGCCAGGCGCTCTTTCACCTCCGAGACCTCTGCCGCCTCGCAGGGCTCCTGTCCTGACAGGAGCTTCTCTGAGGAATCTGACAAAGATAAAGGTCTGCTTCTTTAGAGCGTTGGGTCCAGCGCAGGATAACAGGATAATGCGCCTACCCCGCCACCAAGGCATCATAATATGACGAAATCCCATCCTCAAGACACTGCAACTGCCAAAAACCCAGGGGCTGTTCCTTCAAATAGCTGGTGAGCAAATGTGAAGCTTCGAAAGGCATCTGGCGGGGGTCGTTGAAAACCAGCTTCTCGAATTGAGGCACCCTGAAATTTGACCGCAACAAGCGAGCTCAAAGCTGCAAACCACTCCAAGAATCTGTTGCCTAAGGCGCAGGGCCTTCACTGTTTCCGGCTGCCAGCACTTCGTGACGCAGTGCCGCTGAGGCCGCAAGAAGAGCAGGGGCCTGCTATGTTGGGAGGGGCCACGCCTGCTTCTGCAAGAACTCTCTTAACATTAGGCAAGGACAAATGCTGGCTGCACTCGCTGCACGTGAAAAACATCTGTCCTCGTCGCTCCTCAGAAACTCCAGAATTGCAGGCCAGTTGAAGGGGGAGGCCGGCCTGAACAGCTTCAGCGTGCCAGCACTGCCTTGTATAGTATAGACGCATGACACTTTGGATCTAAAGTCTCTGTTCGTACTGACTGTCCTAGCTATCTTACTAGAGCGGCAATGCAAGCAACATGGCTGGGTGGGCAGTTGGTAAGGTCATGCCTGCAAACGGCGAACTAGCCTCTAAGAGGTTCTCCTTGGCAAGCATAACTACAGCAGCGAAATCTCTCTTTGGCAGATTGCCGAGGCAAGCCATGTTGAGCAACACGCTGTTTTATCCCATCCGACCAAGGATGCCATCCACTCGCTCGACTCACTCGACTCACTCGATTCACCAGCCACCACCGTGTCCACCCTGCTGCGGGGCGCTCCAGTCGTCACCACCACCACCACCTCTCAAAAGCAAGTGAATGCGCAACGTGCCATGCGCAAGCTCCTGCTTCGTAGCCGTGCTAAGTTTGGGAACGTCACCGGAAAGCAAGGCCTGCCGGGGCATCCCAGGATGCATCTCCTGCAGCGGCATTGGTCATGTCATCCCAGTTGCCACCGCCGCCTCTGCTGCTTGCATGGTTGGCATCCAGGTAAGATACAAGTGTTTTCCAAAAATATGTGGATCCGTGGCAGCGATGCACATCCTATGCAGGAGTCCAAAAGGTAGATAACTTCCAGGGTGTCAGGTGCCTCAGAGGGCTGTACCAACAAGATCTTCAGGCAAATCGACATTACGTTGTTCGAATGGATTTTGTGCCCGAAAGCTGCCAAGCTGAATCTCTGTACCGTCCTCCTTGAACCTAACTTGTAACTTGTAAGGCCCGACATTCCTCCTCGAGCAATGAAGCTCAATCTTTGCGTGCCATAGGGATGGGGGGGAGTTGCAAAAATCCGCTCCATCGCAGGGTCTGTGCTACAAGCAGGGGACCCAAAGCAAGTCTCTCGTACGATTGCTACCATGCGTGGCAGATCGCATTTAATGCACGCACTCAAACAAAAAAACGCCATGTTAACAACACGAGGACCTTCAGACCAGAGCCCCACCTGCGCCCTCCCACGCCTGAGCTGGTGCAGTCCATTCCTGAGCAGGGTTTTGGAGTTTATAGGGCAGTGTGTGGGAGGGGCACCCCCAAAAAAAACTGATAGAGAATGGAAAGATGATACGACTGCCTTCTGAGAGTCATGTAATGTTTACTGCTTGTACATGCATACAATAATTATCAGGATTCTGGTGTCATTTATGAAGTTTCCACTGTCTTTGCAGCAACCATGCTTCGTGCGCTGATGCCTACCAGGAGTGAAAGAACGCACGCGCCGCTAAGTTCACGCACGCCGCAGGTGCAAAAAAGGAAACCGACATCTCCGAACATCAAGAGCGCTAGCGCATCCTGAACCGAATCCTACGACAAACCCAGGCCCCAAACCCAAGGTGGACCCTTTGTCTGCCAATTCCTGGCCATGCTTTCATTGGCCCCGCCTGCTGAACCGGTGCCGGCTCCTCGCCCAGGCTTGGGAGTTTCGGGGGCCCGGCATGTTTCATTTGGGCATGCAAGTTAGAGCTGGAAGCTGCAGAGTGGCTTAGGCTCGTTGGACTCTCGAATTGCTGCTTGGCCCCTTGAATGATGAGCAATTTGTGCTGGGGAAGCATACCATGACATTTACCATGTTGCCCAAGGATCTCACTTGCTTCTGCTTGCCTGACACCAGGACAAACCAGACGCCTTCCCACAGCTACAAACTCAGAACTGGTCAAGTTCCTGCCTCCTGCTGCATGATCTCCTCTGGATCACGCCAGAAAAACCTCAAACCAATTGTTTGTAGCACCGCGGATGCCATCTCATCCATGGAGGCGTGTACGCAACCAAGGGACGAGTCCACCATCACGTCCCAGGCCTGGGTTCGCGGCATGCTGCCCCGCAGGTAGAGCACCTGGTTGCAGTGCCGCGAATTCTTCATTAAGGCTGCCATGACTCAAATCTCCCAAAGCCGCGCTCATCCGCACAGACTTTGGGTTGTCCTTGATAAAACTTTGAAAAGTGACATCCTGAATGCCCTTGGATCCTTAAGCTTATGGATAGCTGAGGACCTCCCTTGCCAGGAGCCAGTACAGCAAGGCGATGGACTCCTGACATACAGGCTGAGACTCCCTCAAAGGAGGTGTGCCAATGCAGAAGACCTCTGCACCAAGGCTGGGCTTCATAAATTTAGCTACCTTTGAGTTTGTCCTTGCCCTTGTTGTTGGCGGGGATGGCAACATCAACGTTCTCCAAGGGAGAGTCGGTGTCGCACAGGGCAATGACCTGAGGAATCCACGCAGAAGACAAAAGTGATTGGATTGGATGTTGAGGTGTTGAAGAGCTGAGTGTAAGCTCTTTGCAGACCTCTTTGTACTGGAGACCAGGCAACGGATAAAGAATGGATGGGTATCAAACAAGTAAAGCCTAATTTTGCTCAAGAAGAAATTTTAATCAAGGATCAAAGGCAAAACTAATGGCTTGCGTGTGGGAATACTGCACACGACTCTATTCAAAACTAAATGAGGAAAATGACGAAATTGGCCAAATTCGAGGAAATTCATGAAACCTGTGGAAAATTATTGACAGATGAAGTATGCAGAAAATGATGCAAGTAATGAGAAATCATGAAATACCATGAAAGCCGATGACATATCATAAAACATGATGGCCCTTGGCCCAAGAATTCATCGCAGCAGCGTACGTTGCAGATATTTGGCCTGAAAATGATGCAAGAAATGTGAAAACACAATCTAAAAAGATGAAAATGGCAAATACGTGATGAAATAAGATGAGAACGATACAGAACGATCAAAGGATGGATAAGAGAAATCCTGGGATTTGTGAAAAACTTTGACAGATGATTAGAAATCATGATAACTGTCGAAAATGACAAGAACGCAGATGATGAAAGCTGATGGAATAAGAAATATCATTATGAACCTGCGGAAAATTATTGATGTATCATTTTGACATATATGGAAAATGATGAAATGTCGTGACAAATGACGAAGCATGGAAAATCATGAAGCTTGAGGAAATCGAATAGAAGCACGATAAGAAAGGATGAAACCATGAAGAGTACTTGTAAAAAGACACATGACCCACAAAAAAAAGGACTCAAGGGCTCCACTTCCCAATGGGGATCAACAAATAGATCAGCATCAATCAATAAAAGATTGAAATCGCTCGACACAAGAGCTCAATTTTCCCAGTTGAATTTGGTCTGATCCTCATCTTACTTTTTGACTTGTTCTTCTGTAATTTGTTGGTCATTGTTCAATTCTGTTTCATCCCTATCCCTGCTAGAGCAAAAGAAGGGATCCAAAAAAAGCGAGACTGCATCCCGACAGCAATTGTCAACAACTCTGATCACATGGCGGCTGGTGGGAGCATACCCGATGCCCCAATCTGACTAGACTAATAGGTGCGAGGTATTTGGCAAACCATACAGCGACAATTGTTGCGCCATGAGGCCTAGCAACTTACGTCTATGAAAGTTCCTTTCTAGCTTACCTCATACATGCATGAAACTCTCATCTGATAAAACCTCTAGAATGAAACGTGTACTATGACGATGCTAACTTGATCCCCTTGTCTGCAGAAGTGAAAGCAGGCTGTTAACATCCCAGGAATAAACTGCCAACCTCCAGTCTTGAAACCACGCCTTCAAGCTAAGGATCTCTCTCTTCGCCGAATTCCTAGTTACCCGTAAACCCGCTGTTGAAAATCGTGCAGCAGCTGAGTCACGGGGATGCTGGCGTAGGCTGCCTCCTTGATGGCCTGGTTGTCTGTGCGCGGGTCCTGCCCCCCAGTGTCCAGAGCTCTCACGAGAAGACTTTGATTGAAGTGCAAGCCGCGGGCTACCGGCTTCAACCTCCCGCCTTTAACCTTCAGCCAATCTGTATGAAGGCGAGTTCATGATTGGCACGAGCACACATAAATCCAAACTGAAACTGAGCTCTTCCACTCATGGGTCCGTCACGATGAGGAGGCGAGGCTCCAGATACTTCTGGGTGATTTGATTTGTCAGCGTACCAGGGGTCCATCGTCCGGCCAGAGGATTAGCACCAGTGTACCTCGGTGCACACTTTTATTCGGATCTGACCGTGCTGCTTCTCTCCCAATACACCCGGCCTGCTCACTCACTAACCATTGATTGCCAACAACAGCCATCACGTGCACGCAAGACTTTACAGGCCCGTGCTAGATCTAAGCTCATGACTGACTGAACTTGAGCACAGCTCGGGAGCCGTAAGGACGCTGAGACGCAACAATGATGTCCTCAAAACATTCACTTAAAGAATCCTTGCTTGCTTTCCGCAATGGTCTGGGAGATGGGGTAGTGCTTCACTGAGGTCAGTTGCAGCGCTCAGAAGGAACAGAACAAGCCCTGTTGGAATGTGATGCACTGCTTTGTGTCCTGAGGATTCTCAATGGCAACGATCATGCGTGCAGCCACCATCAACCTTTGCATGAGCTGAGAGTTTCTGGGATTGTATTCGCTTCAGAAACGACCAAAAATGATGACCTACAGCAACCACTGCAATTCCTACGAAATCAGTTCCATGCAGCTTCTCCCAGGTCTTGCCGAGGTGAATGATGTGGATGCCGTCCACCGTGCGGCGGAAGACGTAGCGCTTCATGCGGAAGTCAACATTGCGAGTGCCCAAGTGGGTCTTGCAGACCTCGCGGATAGAATCTGCAGACAGCTCATGTTTCTTTGGTTACGCCTTGCGGATTGCTGCGAGAGAAAGAACGTCATTTCTGAAGCAATCACAGGGTGCAAGTTCTTAACAAGCCTCGCCAGCACATCAAGTTCATGCGGTCAGGGCACGAGCATCATTTGGACATCCTCCTCCTGGTGGCAGGTGCACACGAGCATCAAGCATGTGCAAGAGAATATTGGTCCGGGATAAGACCTCTCTTGTTTTTACGCTTTGGCGCCTTGGTGTTTGCCATGTTTTCGCCGATCTAGATCTTTGGTCGGGACTGGATCTACAGATTACCCTGGAGCCAAAACACAAATACCGCCGAGCAACACGTGGAACAAGCTTGGTCTGGCATTCTCTGGGCTCCTACAAGCGCAGCTCATGTTCAAAACTTGCTCACTTGAAGAGCAGCCGCAACATTCCATCACACAATCGGAAACCAGAATTCATCCTGGAATCAATGTCAATGCATTACAGAATCCACCAAGCTAGTTGCTATTACGGGTTACTTGTTTGGACTGCTGCTTGAGTCCACCAGAATAACTTTAACTTTTGTTGGACCACGTGGGACGCTCAGGAACTCACTTCATGATCCACTCCTTTGAATGATATTGAACATTACACTGCATGATAGTGCATCAGAGATCAAGTTAACTAATTAAAAAGCCCACCAGATACTGTCATAGATCTGATACGTCAGACTAAACGTGAACCTGAAATTTGTTCCGAAGTTGGTTCCGCTGACGGCCTGCACGGCACCGGCCTCGATTCCAGAAGATGCAGGTTTTTTAATAAAACACTCGACCCCGCAGGTAGTCAAGGGAGCACTATCGCTAACAAGCCCATCATGGACCAGACTGGACCCATCAGTTGAGTTGCAGGGCCATGAATGCGCCCCCGTCAAAGAAAAACCCTAGTTTGCCAAACCTCTGCCTGGATATCATGCGCATATTTCAACTTCAAAAATTTGCATTCATGCCACTGCTCAATGCGGCGAAGATTGCCGATACCGAGCCCAGGACTCGGTTCCAACGTCACAATGGAAACGCAGACCTCGGCACGTCTTCTGGTGGTCGTCGCTTGCCTGCACGTGCAAAAATTATTGGACCTGCATGTTGTACACTGGGGAATGTAAACATGAAACGAGAAGCATGAAGGTTGCACTATGGTACATCATTTTCGTAGATATTACGTAGGACCGCAAAGTTGGCATGATTTTGTTTCGGCAAGATGGGAACAGGTGTGTGCGTCTGTCGCCAACAAATTATGCATCGAAGGACTGTGTGTCCTCACTACTACCTCAACCAATCACAACGCCGCTACATATTTGAAAATAATATCGGAGAAAAATCAAGGGGAATTGTTCTGAACCATGCATTGTTCGGGGAAACTGGAAACTGGAACAAAAACAATTCTTGGGGGCCCCGAATCCTGAAAACAGGGTTTCTTTTCAATTTCATTGGATGGGAACGAGGCGTATTCACCCCACGAGGCTCACCTAAACAAGCAAATGTTACGGGGGTCTTCACCATAAACAGCATCGCACATGAACTTGCAAACATGCGTTGATCTCGAATGTTTGCCGGACTGAGAGTCGCACTTCTGAAACCACATACGCGAAAATGCACCTTGCACCAGCCATCCACATAGCGACTCCGCATCAGGTCAATTTTTTGGAAAAATCTGCCCCTGGATGGACAACAGCTACGATTGAGACAGCTGCTCACAATATTCATGCAAACATGCACACATTCCTGCCCGCTCATTGGTTACGAACTTGTCGGGGTCGCACTAACTCCTACAGAAAGCATGTAACAAAAGATTCGTGCGCAATCATCCAACACTGCCAAACCATCCGCTTGCGTGTTGATTGCTGAGGCCACGGCAAGCTGAAAAAGGCCAACCATGTGGGCACGCTATGGCGCTTTTCCATCATGCATGCAGTTGCACTGTCTGCCTTGCGAGTCCCGTGGCCGCAATGTTTCGCAATATGAGGCTTTGCACTTTCAATATCCTTTGGCATACAGCTGAAATTTGTGGCAGCTTGCAACCTACCTGTGTGTTTCATGACATGAACAAGCACATGCTTGCACAACATATGTGGTTTCTTATGCAAATACCGTCTCAAGGTGATGGCCTTCAGTTGCGACCGCACCCCGCTTTGCTGTGGAATATACAGCATGAAAGAACCCATGTTCTGTAGTACGACCAATCTTTAAACGCGTCTGGTGCTCGGTGATGTTTCGTACATACACTTCAACTATTTCAAACATAGCCAAATGTTCCATAGGCCGTACATGTGACACGATTCATTACATATTGGGTGCTAATATGTGCAAAACAAAATGTAAGTTTAGTTCCCTTGTAGAAAATACCGGGCACTCAACTCCAATATCTCGAAACATCCATAACGATTTGCAATCAGCAACTCGTACTTCCACTTTCAGTTGCGTGGTTCATAATCGATTAACGTGTAATATTCAATGCAAATATCACACATACAAAATCAGATCTCAAAAGATGAGTCTGCAATCAGCAAGACGGGCCTTCACTTTTGTCAATGGGGCGTGCCAACGATGACTCACTGCTGCTACCCGCATCCCTTAAGGACAGAGTCAAGGCTGGGTCTTGCACGCACAACCCCCCGAAGGCACTTTGCTGAAAGGTCAAGACTGGGACCATCCGCAATGTTGGATGACGTCCCCATGCGGGCATACCAAGGTTTTAGGTGCATGGATGCTTCCAAAGTGATTATGCTTTCGATCCAGGAATTTGCAGGCTCCAAGCGCGCATAGCAATGGATGCACTTATGTCGGGCTCCATCGTTGTCCAAGAAACATATCACATGTGCGCCATGCAAGGGATGCTTCCAAATCCCAAGTGATACTAAAATGGGTGCGATCTCCAACTCGAATATCAGGATTTTGGATTGTTCAAGCAAGCCGCGCATGGCCCGCGCAGCAATGTAAGGAGGGGCTTTCTTACCACCCCGATCGAAATTGATGCCAAGCAAATGAAAGCATTCTCCATGACCCACCTGGTGTTGTTCGCGACAAAAAAAATTAACAAACTTTAAAAGAACCAATCCTCTTCTCCAAACTGCCATGGACACCCGTAAGCAGGCGCTAACAAAACCTGTGGCTCCAAAAGGTAGGGAGTTTACCCCCAGCAGCGCAAAACGATGGCACCCAGGTTGATTTACCCCGATGCGCAACTTCATTCGATCGCAACCGCGGTGCCTGCCTCCGCTTGGGAGGCGCTGGACATGATCGATCTGCAGGTGGAATTGCGCAGGCCTGCAGGACGTGCCAAATTTTTTTGCGGACAGCGGTCAAAGCAGCGCTGCTCACGGCCTTGACAGGTTTGCGTGATGCCTGCCCAAGGCAGGCACACCCGTCTGGAATGACAGAATCCAGAGCGTGGAAACTTTTCCTCCTGACGCCGCGCATGCTGCTGGCACGGCCGGACCGCCAAGGCGCGCAGGTGCGGGATGAGCTACTCTCGCGGGCGCGCGCTTTTCAACGTGGCGATTGGATGCCTCTGTTGGATGCAACGCGTCAGCAGCGCAACCACGCCAGGGGAACAACCGCGCAAGATGCGGAAGCTGTAGCAGAGCGGAGGCTCGCGCAAGCATGCGCCAAGGTGTGATCATACACTCGTCAATTCAACGAATTTTGTGCGGCCATGACTTCGGGCAAGACGTATGGGAACCAGAAGACCTTTCGTATCTTGGTCGTTGGCCAAGCAAGTCCACCCAGCAGCCAACTCATCGATCGTTGTTTCTTCCCAAGCGGCCACTTCTAACTCTTTATCCTGGCGCGAATTAAGTCCAAAGTGCTCTTACTTAGCCCAAAGGAAAGAACAAGGAGGGCATCGTTCAAAGCATGTTCCTACGCGTGGCAAACCCGATACTACAGCTAACAGCAAGCAGAACGCACTATTTTGGCACGAGATGCATGGGAATGCGCCCCCCCATTAAGGTTCCCAGGCATCTCGGTGTGCTTGCACTCAGTCCCCTTCCGCGTCCGAGGTGAGTGGGTACCTGCACGCATGCAAAACTGCGAGAGGTCAAGGTGCTTGAGTAGTTGCCACTGAAGAAGGTGAGCTTGGCTCTTTTCTCTCACGCGGCTCAAGGAGGGCGCTGCGCTTGCTTGAGCTAAGCTGCATGCGGTGGGCGCAGCGTGGCTGTGCCTCGTGGTGAGGCTAGCGCGGAGAGGGAGATGCGCTCCCTCTCGTGCGTGCGACGCATGAAGCGACGCATGCGGTTTCTGCTTATAGTTCGTCTGCCCAGATGTTTTTCTCGCCCGCTAGATGTGTAAGTGCTAAGCGAACGTTGCTGTGCGCGGACCACTCTGCGACTGTTTTGAGGAATCCGCTGAGAGGCTCCGAGGTGGTGAAAAGGCGGTTTATGCCTGCCGCTGCGGCGTTATCGGAAGCCGCGGGCAGAACAAAAAGCGAAAGTGTTTGGCGCGCAGGCGTGCGACTGCGGTCATTGCGAGAGCCAATTGTGCGATGGTCTCCTAATCTCGGTCATGTCCCACTGCTCGGAAAACCAGGCGAAAGATTGCGAGGTGCTGATCCATCCTCCGACGCCTACTGTGGTGCCCTTCGCCATGGCGTCTGCGGCTGCGAGGCAGTGTAGCTGCGGCGCTTGCCTGACTGTGCGCAGCTGGTCATGCGAAAAGCAGGACGAGAGCCAGCGGAGTGATGACCTGCTTTTGTTGCGAAGATGGATGTCTTGCCTAGAGGGATCTGCTAAGCGGATGCACTCACATAAGTAGGCCTATAGCGCGCGCTCTAAGTGCTTGCGGGGCAGCTTCGTGGAGCGCGCGAGGGGCTCGAGCTGCTCTTGAAGTTTGGCGAGCGCGATGCTTGTAGGTCTGCGCGCACGGTCCAGCCGCACCAAGTGACCACGTGCCCCAGCTGCGCCTTGCGCCAACTCATGGGTGCGTTGATGGATGCGAGAAAGAATGTGACGAGCGTGACTTGCTGGGGCATGCTGTGCTTGCATAGGAGCGCGAGAAGGTCGTCTACATAAAGCCATGCACGGCGGCTGAAAGTGCTGAGCAGTGCGCGCGTAATGCGAAGCATTTGTGCACCGACGCATTGCCACCTATATGCGCTAAACTTTGCG